GCAATTTTCATAAGCTACTAGATTGGCATCTAGGTTTCTTTTGTCTTCAGAGCTGACCACCAAGAACAAAAAAAATGTTGGCCTCAACTTTTCCATGACTGGGAAGGAGATCTGGAGTCACCAACATGCAATTTTATATGAAGTCTGGCCTGAATGCAAGATACCAAGTTTGGTCTTTTTCCTCCGTTTGACTATTTTGAGACTGGATGCTTGAGCCGTGGCCTTCTTTGGGAGGCCCTAAGAGGAACCCAGAAACTCCAAGGTCGCTGCCTGGAAGAACCACATTCACAGAGTACAAACAGATTTCTCAGTAGCAAAGCAAATAATAGCATTGTCTTAGAGTTGTATTCAGTGGCATTTTGGCCAGGAATCAAGTCTCAGTCCTTAACAGCCAAGGAAAGTCACCTTGATGCCTGTCTTCTTGCACCCTGCCACCCAAGTGAAGCAGAGAGGAGAGTGCTACCACTGACTTCTTGTTATTGTGTTTTTGTCATTATTTTCCAGAAACCGCGGTACAAAGGTGTGGTGGTCATTTTTAAGGGGTAGAGGGTTTTCTGCCAACAACCAGCTCATTCTCCTTCATTTGGTTTGTTTCTTTCAGCCAAGGGAAGTGTTGCAGGGGAGGATGCTTAGCTCATAGCTCACAGCCCGTGCCGCAGTGCTCGGCATAGTGGCTTGATGGCACACGCAAGGCGGTTGAGAAGGAGGCGGTCTTGTGTGGAGGAAATAAATACAGTAAGGACCAGCCTTCGCTGTGCACAGCTGCGCAGGGGAAGTTAATTGGAATGGGCAGAGCGTTGTGAAACTGGGAAGGCAGACATCAAGGCCGACAGCAAGAAAATGAAGGGAGGACGCAGGAGACATCCTGGAGTGTGGCAGAGCTCTTCTTTGGTTGCCACACCTAGTGTTTACTTCTCTGTTTAGCCAATTGCCTTGGAAATCGTGAGGAACTGCTCTTTTTAATTACAACCATCACCATTCTTTCTCCTTTAAAATTAATTAGTCCGTGGGTCTCTACCAGCCTGCCTTCGTGCTCCTCTGCTTCATGGAGCAAAAGTGAAGAGCCCCATCTTTTGACCCTTTCCCTCAGTTCCTGCTCACTGGTTTCACTTACCGAAAAACAGTTAGTCCTGTGCAGGATGTTCCCTGGCACATCAAAATCCCATCAGGCGCGGCTGGCTTTGGGGTTTGTAACAGGCTCAAAGCAGGCAGCAGGCGTGCTGAAAGGTGCCAAACTATCAACCTTCCTGGCAACCGTAACTCTAGAGGCTGGGCTTCAGGCTGGGTAAAAATACGCTCTAGATGCATGCCTGGGTAAAAATGTAGGCAGGTCTCACTGTTAATCGCTCAGAGATTTCAGGATATCTGACAGGCAAGAGGTCCAGGAGTCGGAGTAGTAAGTCAGGCTCCTAGAGCAAGAGCTGCCCAGGAGGGGAGCTATGGGATTCTCCTGCACTGAGCTCATGGAGCGTGCAAAGTCAGGCGTTTGCAGAAGCTGGTATACAGAAAATCACTGTCAGAAAGAGTATGGTAAGAATTACCAGAAGGAAAGTATTCCTGGGATTCTCCTAAGCGTAACCCATCAGCCAGAAGTGAGCTGTTACTGGGGGTTACCAACTTCATGGTCTTCATGGAAGCCCACAGTATCGTCCTGACCTCTCATGCTTTGAAGCTCAAAGGGCTGGAAGTTGGGAAGGCATTTCAGCTTCTCCCATTGCTGCTGATTTGGAAAGTGTTTTGAATGGCAGACTCAGCCAGCAATGCAAACTGCAGGCATAAAAAGAATAAAAATCTCTAAATTGAAGCAAGGCTACATATGGTACCATTGTGCCATAATTTTCTATTTAAGTCAACGTCAGGTTAGGCCTTGGATATTCATGAGCACAATGAGGAACGTTTTGGAAAGTGGAAATTGCATTATGGCTTCTGCTTCCTTTCCAGGGAAGCATGTGAAGCAGATTACAGAGCGAGGGAAGGTCACGACTGCAGGGAACAGCACAGGATGTCTGAGAGGGAAAGGGGGGGGCGAGAGGAGCTGCTGCAAAACAAGGGCAGAGCAGGAGAGCATGAGGGTGAAAAGTGGTAACTGGAAGCCTGGCAATATCTTCATCAGAATTCCTTCACATAAAAGGTCAAAAAAAAAAAAACTTCCCCTCCCTCCCCAATTATATCTAAATTTCTGACATTTTTAATCACTTGTTCTAATTTATCGGACATTATAAATTATATAATTATAACTAACTTGTTTTAAATTATCGGACAGATACGGTTGGACTGGATGATCTCTAAGGTCTTTTCCAACCTAGTGATTCTATGATTCTATGATTCTAATTTAAATATGCATTGTTGGTTTGGGATTTTTTTTCACGTCCTGGTAATGTTCTGAAATGTTTGTCCTGTCAAACAGATAGACTTAGTGTTTCAAAACCAGCATCTGCATGTGTGCATGTTTCAGGGTGATGAAAATGCTGAAGAGGCTGGGACTGATCAAAATGTATTTGCTTAGCCGTGATCAATTAATATCACCACTGTGTAGGAAGTATTGTGCTTGCTGTGTTGGGCATGCACCTCCCAGCTATATTTCATGTGTCCTTCCCTCTGACCATAAAACTACTTCTGAGGCAGCACGACGAGTCTTAAGCAGGGAGGAAGCGATGCCATCCCTCCCTCTGCCCCCTCTCTGTAGGGCAACAGGAGGACCTCAGGCCTGTCCTACACACACGGGGTAAGCAGCCTGGGAATCGGCTAAGGAAGAGCCTGCTTTCTTTACTCTCCCTTTACTGTAGCAGCTACGTTGGCCCTTCCAGGATCGCTTATTGGAAGCACCTTGCAGCACTGCTGGCCAAGCAGCACCTCCAGCAGTGTGCTGGGGAGAAAAACATATGGTTTGGCGTAAAGGAAGTAAGCATAAAATGTTCACGTATTTCTCAAAAGGCAAATGGTCTGAAAAGTCTGTCCAACGATAGCCCGAACCAGAACAAGCTGTAATTACATATCCTCTTGGTTTGCAGTTTATGTGATTTTCTCTCTGGTTTTTGCAAGCGTGCCTCAGTTACGCTTCGGTGGTCCAGCAGCCTTTTAACAAGCAGTAGTAGGTACCCCTTCACTCAGGCACTGGCAGTACTAAAAGAACATGCTATCCTTTAACCCTTCACAGGATTATGTAGCTTAACAATATGGAGCAGTGTCAAAGGGATGATCTGTCCACAAGGAGCAGGGAGGAAGGGAGTTCAGGAATTGGGATGATTACCCACTACCTTTTCATTGTACAGCTGCTACTCACGATATTTTGGTGCTTGAGTTCATAACCCTGCAAATACAACAAGGTAGAGAGGGAACAGCACAGACACAGTTATTTGGAAGGGATTAAACGTTAACAGCACACCTTAAATACAAGCAAGCAGGAGCAAAAGAAGGGAAACACTGTCCAAGTACAGACTGTACCCAGTTTTAACAGGCAGGCGGGATTTGTTTACGGAAGCAGACAATCATCTCCTTCCTCCCTGTGGTAAAAGGTGTATTTAAAGGAAGTACTAGTGGGAATTTTGTCTAAGTGCAACTTGCAAAGTAAAGCCTCAGAGGCAAGCCTGGTCCATTTAAGTTGCTACTCTGTAAACTAATTATTTAATTTAAACTAGGGACCAGCAGTTAGCAGACTATTTAACTGTTTCTTGAGTTGGATGGCTTTTCTCTCCAGGCTACCCTGGCATCTGCATTCCAGGGCTGTGAAACTCTGTGCTGTTAAGGCTGCTGGCGTAGTCACGGGGTACCCTGGCTGATTCGGTTGCTCCTCCAGCAGCTTTTGCCATGGGGCTCTCAAAGGTACCCCAGACATAAAGCCAAAATGGCCTGGACAGCGAAGCCAGTCTCTTAAGAGGATTTTGTCCTTATGAAAATAAAGGAACAACCATGGAGAGGGGCAAACCCCCCCCAAACCGGTCTGCAAGAGCAAACGGTACATGACCCCGCTGCACTTCTGCTGTTGATCCAAGTGAAATGGGGTTTGCCAGCGGAATTAAATAAACAGCCTAACACTCCCTCCTCCAGGTAACATCAAGCCTGATTAAGAGTTCAAAGAGTACATTTTTCAGAATGTCAGTGGCTGGATCAGAAGATCAAAGACCATTGATTTTTTTTGTATTTTATTTTATCTCAGAGAGTGAGTTCTAAAAAATCCCTTATCAGCTGCTTCTTGAATGCCTGAAAGGGGAAGAAATTAAAGGGTGTTTATTAGTGTTAGCAGTAGTATTCCAAAATGTATTGCATGCATTATTATTAATATCATTCCAGAGGTGCAGTGCCAGCAAATCATAGATACAAAGAGCTGGCAATAAATTAATTTGAGAACTAAAAAAGTACTGGAAATTAGGAAAGATGATGAGATGGAAGAAATCAGCTGAGCAAAGTGAAGAATGAGAATGACACGCCTTTGTTGCACTAATATGGTAATGAAATATAGCAAAGGCAGAGTGGGAATACTGATCTTCACATGCTTCTAACAACGTCTTGCCATACTCGGTCACATTTCTGTAAAATTGCTAGCATGAGCTATTACAGGATGAAAGGAGCTTCATGCCAATATGAATGCATCTCTGGTGCAGAGCTCTGTCACTTCTGCAGTGATGGTTTCTAAACTGATACAGTATTAGGGCGTGAGCTGGCCTTTGGAAAAACTGGTGGCTTAAGTTCACCCGTGGTAGTTTCAGCCTGCGTCCTCCAGCAGAGGACACGAGTCCCGGCAGGAGATCCAGGGCCCGTAAACCCTACGTAATGCCCACAGGGAAAACTAACCCAAACTACCACACGAATGGATGGGCTCTGGGCTGACATTACCTCTAAGAAATGAGACTTGGTACTATGTTAAATAGCACCATAAAATCTCAGTTCCCGACTGTTTGACAGCCAAGAAAAAAACAGATCTGTGGATTATTTAAGAACAACACAGAGAAGACAACAGCAAACGTTATTGGGCCTCTGTGCCGTATGTGCTTCTGCTGCAGTTACTGGCAAACAAGAGGAGAGGATGAGAAGAGGTGCGAGGTGGTCAGCGGCATGGAGCGGTCCCTGTATGCTGAACAGCCAAGCAGGACGGGGGTCCTGGGTGTGATGCTGAAGGTCTGTAAATCACCGGCAGTGCAGAAGGGGAAGCTGGTGGCTGACGAGCTGAGAGCTCGGGGGCTCAGGTGAAACCTCTGGGCATTCAGTTCGGAATAGAGCAGAGGAGACAGTTCTTCAGATGCGTAATTAAGCTGGGGAGCTCTTTGCCACATGAGGCTGTGAATGCTAAAATTTGCATGAGCTCAGGATGAGGCTGGGCAGGTTTGCAGAGGAGAAATCCACCGAGTGATACGGTTAAAAACCAAACCAACCTGTCTGGCTCAGAAAGTTGCTGAGCTGTGAAACGTTGGAGGAGACCAGGAGAGAAAGTTTTCTCCCTTTTCTTATGCTCTTTCTAAGGCATCTTTTTGGCTCCTCGCCCCAGTGGTTTCTTCAGTTTAAGCAAGACTTTGAAGGTGTTCCAGGGAGGAGAAGGCTAAAGAAAAACAGAAATCAAGAGGTACCATCTGCTTGTGAATGATAACAGATGCAAAAAGGGCAGGGGTGTGCAGGTTGCACATCCCAAAGCTGAAGAGTCCAGGGGCGTAGGGACAGCAAGCAGAGCGTCAGGCAGCACGCACTCCCTCCAAAGCCCCCGGGGGGCAAGGGGTGCTGCCAGGTGGGGACATGGGGGGATGTGCAAATGTAAACTGTCCCCGTGGCATCCTCAGAGGAGAATGGGGCTGGCAGCTGGGGCTGTCCTGGCACACTGAGGAGGTGCAGGTGTGGAGGCGAGTGCAACCCAAGCCTTAGCAGGAGAGTTCTGGGGGGAGGCTGAAGCAGTGTTGGGATGCAAGGACATGGCTGGAGGTCTCTGATGCAGTGAGCCCATGCTGGTGGGCATCTGTTCCCCTGTGCCTCACCTGGTTTACCCTGACCCGTATCTGGAGCCAGACCTGTGCATGCCCCCATGCTGAGGACGCTTCAGAGGCAGGAGGAGGCCAGAGGGGACAGGATGTGCAGCATCGCTCGGCTGCAGTGATGCAGGGAGGTTTTGGTACTGGCTGCGCAGCATCGCACAGCTGCAGTGAAGCAGGGAGGTTTTGGGTCATGCATGCCACTGGGGTTTCCTGGGTGGGAAGCAGGGGTGGAGAAGGCAGACTCCAGAGGGACTGTCTCACTGACAGTGGTGTTGAAACATTTTGAATTGCAGTGTGTGGGCTTTCTGGAAAGGCTGACTGACAGGTTTTTTCTTTCTTTGCAGTTAGAATCATAGAATCATACAATGGTTTGGGTTGGAAGGGACCTTAAAGACCATCTAGTTCCAACCCCCCTGCCATGGGCAGGGACACCTTCCACTAGACCAGGTTGCTCAAAGCCTCATCCAGCCTGGTCTTGAACACTTCCAGGGATGGGGCATCCACAGCTTCTGGGCAACCTGTGCCAGTGCCTCACCACCCTCTCCGTGAAGAAGAGGGTTTTTTCACTTATAAACCAGGCTCCCCGACAAAGGCTCCGTGCCATACCACGTGTGAAGTTAGGGCAAAACCCAAGAAAGAAAAAACGAGGCCAGCGGACTACAATGTCTCTGCCATACAGCAGTGCAGGCTACATATACCTGTTTCCCAAATACTGGCAATGCATTTAAAAATCGATGCCTGTTCAGTCCGGAGCAACCGCTGGTGTGGCCTCCAGGACGTGTGTAAACCACCGAAGTTAGGGGTTCCCCCAAGGGGCGGGTTCTCTGAAAGAGCAATGGGAGCCCTGCCTGGCTCCAGCATTGCCAGCATTGGTGCCACCCAGCAAAAGGCCTGATCCCCTGCACAGCGCTGGGCCAGACACTTCAGGCTGTAAATAAGGTGGAAAGCTGTTTCTTTGAATATCTCATTTTTACCCCAGCAATTTCTCTTGACATTTCCACTGCTTCAAAACGATTTTTCCTCCTCTCCATCTTTTCTGTGCATTGTTTTTCTGCGGCAGTCTTTTCATTGGCTTTGCTTCTGTAAAGGACTTTGCATAATGTTTTCCTTCAAATTGTTACATTTCAAAGATTTTTCCTTTATTTCAAACTTCTTAGTTGCTATGTGACTCTGCTGTGTGGTGTCTAGGTCTTCTTTTGCTTTACGGTGTCCTTTTTCTCAGGCAGTTTCCCTTGAACAGCTCTATGGTGGTGATAGCATGAAAAATCTCTGTATCCCTCTGTACCTCTGTATGGAAGTCTAAAAATGTCAGTGAGAGAGAGACAAAGCAATCATTTTTTAATTTTAAATAAGGGATATTTATTTTCAAAAATTCTCTAATAGCAGGAAGAGAAGCTTAGCCATTTTATAAAAAATACATGCTTATTTTCTTCAGATGTTCTGGTCATACCATGGGCTTTTCACGGAAAGAACAAGCATTTCTTGTCGTGCTGTGTGCTCCTGCATGACCGTTGTCCTGCCAGGGTTTGGTGCTGAGAAGGTGCAGCCTGATGTGTGGGGTCAGAGCGCCCCTGTTTTACTGGGGCTGTTGTGAGTGGCCGGGGCTGCAGGTCTCTGAATCGGGATGAGTTTACGCTTTGACTCACCGTCATTCTGATACAGATATTTGGGAGAGTACATCTCCTGAAGGCCCCTCAAACAGATTCTTTTCCCCACAAGCATTGATTCCTGGAACAGTTTCACACGTGTGGCAGTGCATCTGGTTTGAAGCCCGCTGAGACCCGCAGGTGCCTTTCTACTGGTACTCACCCAGGCGTAACCGGATTTAAAAAGTGACCTACATCTTTCGCTCTGCATCCCGGGCTCCCTGTGCGGAGCCCTCCATAGGTGCTCTGAATTTACCACCACAGCGTGAAAATCTGAATCCACGAGCAGTACTGGGTCTGGCTATTAAACTGCTTTTAGTCCTGATTTCAGAACCGAGAGCAAGACTTGCACTTACTGTTTTTTTCAGCAGAACTAAGCTGACGAATATTGTCTTTGGTGGCCATGTTGGCTTCTGGTTCATGGCTGTACCAGCAGGAGGTACCATGAGGACCAACAAAAGGATGCTTTAGTGGATATTCCTTATGTTGCTTACTGACTCGCGTTCACTAGCCTGTCAGAAGAGGGTTTTGCTTTCCAGTATGGTTGTGTTTAGACTGAGAGGCCTTTTCAGACTTGCCAGTGGATTCCAGCCCTGTGTGGATTTCAGATGCAGGCAGATACAGAGTGGCTTTCTACAATTGTGTCTTGCCCTCCTGCTGTTTCTTTGCAGAGGCAAGACAGTGCCAGTCAGCCAACACCACCAAACGTTCACTAGGAAAAGCTATAGGACTGCAAGTGAGTCCTCAGATCTTGGTTCCGTCACCCAAAGCAAGCTGGCACGTGTATAAGTATCAGGTTGATAGCTCAGGAAATACCATAGAATCACAGAATGGTTTGGGTTGGAAGGTTCCTTAAAGACCATCTAGTTCCAACCCCCCTGCCATGGGCAGGGACACCTTCCACTAGACCAGGTTGCTCAAAGCCTCATCCAGCCTGGCCTTGAACACTTCCAGGGATGGGGCATCCACAGCTTCTCTGGGCAACTTGTTCCAGTGCCTCACCACCCTCTCTGGGAAGAACTTCTTCCTGATATCTAATCTAAATCTTTTGTAAAAAGTCCCCTCCAGCTTTCTTCTAAGCCCCTTCAGGTACTGGAAGGTGCTATAAGGTCTCCCCGGAGCCTTCTCTTCTCCAGGCTGAACAAGCCCCACTCTCTCCGCCCGTCCCCATAGCAGAGGGGCTCCAGCTCTTGGAGCATCTTCGTGGGCTGGAGCATGTTCCACAGGTTACCCTGTGGAAGATGGAAACTCCTTCTGAAGATGGCAACAGACCTTTTGCCATCCTTTTTCCTTTCCTTATGAATACTTTTACTTCTTATGTAAAGTATCACAGAATGGGCGTTTATATTAGTGGAGCGATATTGCTTTGGAGCAGTGGCTGGTCATGCAAAAGGGGAGACTGGGCTTTGGGGGTGAGGCTGGAGCGTCCGGCAGGCACCGGCATATGAAGAGTGCAGCCCATTGCTCAGGGCAGGTGACTGAATGGCATCTGGCTGACCACCTCTGGAACAAATGGGACACCTTCGCCTTTGGAGGCAGCTGAGACAAGCTATTTAAACTGTGTTTAAAATGTGCTTTATTGATACAGAACTTTGAATTTAGCACTAGGGCGGTAACACGTGCTAAGTTACCCACTATAGTCGGCCTCTAAGATGGCGGCTGGGTTTTCCTTAGGGTGCAGCTGGAGTTCTCTTGGTCACATCTTCCAAGAGCCTCAGACAGTCTTTCTAACCATCTAATGATGCACACTATCGGGGAGGCAGTGGCAGGTGGGGGAGGTAGTGTTTCCAGTTACTTATGGTGCTTAATACCAAAGCACTTGATCACATCAGTGTTTTGAGGTACTGTTTTTACGGCCAGGTGCTTGCTGTCATGAGTTAAGGTTTACTAAATTAAGCCTTTATATATTCTGAAAAATATTAACAGGTTTACTGTCCCTGCACAGTTTTCATTCATTGCTACATAACAGCAGAGAGCAGTTAGGCTCCCTAGCAGTGTATTTCAGAAAGACAGCAAATTGTCTGTGTTTACTTCTGCTATATAATTCAGTGATTGTATTGCAAATCTTGGCCAAGTTCTTTAATAGTTGGAGCCTAAAAACAAGCTCTTAAATTAATATTTAGGTTCCCAAATGGAAGGTCTGATTTTTCAAGTACTGAGTCCATCCTGACTCTTGGTGACTTTCTGGAAGCCAGTGGGCTATCAGCAGTTTGAAAGTCGGGCCTGCTATTTGTTCCAACACTTGTGTAAGAAAGCCCAACTATGGTTTAGACTCCTTTAAATATTTGTCTTTGTAGTATTGCAGTGCCTGTTTTATTCCGTGCATTGCAATAATTCCTAGTGGAGCTTCTTCATGTTGACAAACTATCAGTTTGGATTGATTAGAATGTTCAGTAAAAAAGTTGCCAGCAAGGTTGCTATGTGAAATCTTTGCTGGAAGATGAAAAGATGCAACGGTGTAAGAGTAGTTCTGGCAAATCACTGTTGGGTTTTTTTCATAATAGGGCAGGCTATAAATACTGTCTTTCCTATAACATACGCTTCACTGCCTGTGCCTGACAGCAAACCTGAGTGGTCTGGGGTTCATCTGAAAGGCTGATTTTGCCCTCTGTATTACTGGGAGCTCTTCAGTACCTACTGGTGAGGTTTTTCTCCTGTGTGTCAGTGCAATAAGGCTTCCTTTCCTTTCTCTATATAATTTCAAGGAAAGTCTGATTCATTACTTCAGGGGCTGAGCTAAATTCTTTCCTCTGGACTGTTTTGAAAGAAATCGTTTAAGCCTCAAATACTTATGCTGGCTGGAGTAGCAGATGTGTGAAAGAGTGGGCATTTGCTTTGCTTCTTGCTGCTCATCCTCAAGAAGAGAAGGCTCCTCTTAATCTGTGGGCTCACAAGCACAGCAGTAGGACTTTTTGACCTAAGATAAAACAATGACAAAACCATTCCTGTGGAGGCACAGCATGCAGGCGCTTCGGGATGCTTCTGGAATATATTACTGGGGATAACTTACTCTTTCTTTTCAAAAGAAAATTATACTGGTGCCTTTAGGGGAAAAGAAAGAGAGTCCTGTGTGATGAGGGGAGAGGGAAGAAATTATTCTTGGTGATGTTTAAAAGTTGTTAAATTCAGAAGGCCCTGGAATGGGAAGATTCAATATACAGTAAATCAGCAGTGATCTGGCACATTTGCAAAGGCGACTTTGAAAGAGTCTCTCATTCTGATTGTGGAGATCTTTCATTTCTTCTGTGCAGATGCCCTGATGGATCAAAATTTGCAGCATTTTCAGTAATCAATATACACTTTTTTCCTCAAATGGGGGCTGCTCCTGAGAAAAGCCTTTTGCTTTGTAAACAGTATTTGGCTGAGACTGACCGCATGTTTCCGTTCCCCTTGCAGAGGCACAGCCATCGCTGGAATTGTTTTCGGTATAGTATTTATAATGGGAGTGATTGCTGGGATCGCCATCTGCATCTGCATGTGCATGAAGAACAACCGTGGGACGCGAGTAGGGGTCATCCGAACTACGCACATCAACACTATCAGCACGTACCCAGGTAAGGCAGCGAAACGACACCCCTGCAAGAGCGCCTGCCTTCATGGTAGAAGTGCATCTTTGGATAGTCCTGGCTCCGCAGTAAATGGGGGTTGTGAACACAGCGGGAGGCTCTTCTCAGTCCGGAGGGGAACAGGGAACAGCACGACTCCCTGCTGAGAAACGCGAGAGAGCTCAGCAATAGCGGAGTTCGTCAGTGCAGCCCTCTGCCTGGGCTCATTTATTCAGCCAGGCCGTGGGCTAATGAGATCTGGCCGGGCGCCATGCTCACACAGCTGTATGGCTTGCGGTGCTCGCGGCACTGCATTGAGACCTCGCTCGAGGCGGTGCTGCGCTGTGCCCCATAGACCTTCTCCCTGTGCCCGAGGCTCTTGGGCGCTGGATCGGTTGTTCTTTTGTGGTCTGGTATTTGCTCTTGTTCATGTACAGTCAGCTCCCTTTCATTGTCCAATATAACAGGGGCCCAGCACACCAAAGAGAGGAGAAAACCTGGACAATATGCTCTGTGGATCATAGCGCAAAAGCTTCGAGTGGTGCCGCGTGGCTCTAGTGCAGCCTGAGCCAGCTGGTACTCGGCCAGAGCTCACAAGTCCTGCTGGGTGCTGCGGGATCCCAGATGACTTCTGCAAAGGCACATGGGTGCCCTTGTCATGTGTTCTTTGCTGTGTGTCCCAGGAGGGATTGCTGGCTGGCCTGCAGTGCTGGATCCACACTAGCCCTCTGCATCCACCTGGTACCATGCCTGAACCGATGGGAACTTGGAGCATGGAGCAGAGATGCCCGTTGTGCCTTGGTCAAAGTTAGCTGAGACCTGGCAGTGCTTGTTATCTCCAGGCTGGTGTTGGTTGTGTTTGATGCCGACCTGTCTGCGGGTTCACATAGTTTTGGTGTAACGGTGTTTCAGGTGCCGGGCAGCAGCAGGGGAGGCAGAGAGCCTAAGTCAGATGTGGCACTGAGCTAATAAGCTGTCACAGGCACCCCAGGGGACAGCAGGGACCCCTCATGGGTCTGCTCTAGTGCAGTTGTGCCCATAGTGAGTGGGAAGGGGTACGTCAGGCTGTACCCACGCTAGCCCTGTGCAGAGCCTCTCTGCACCACACTTGTCAACTCGTGACAGCCTAGGGTTGGAGTACAGGGGCACCACGTGGATCTGCACCAAGCCAGCTGGGGTCTGCAAGTCTCATTTGCCTGGGTTCCCCACCACGTTGTTGAAGATCAAAGCTGACCCTGGAAGGAGCATAACAGTATTTATGCAATGCAGCTATGTCTCTGCTTCAGTGACATTGTTAATTACAAATCCAGGAGCAATTGCCTTGGGATAACTGGAGAATTCACTGCAATAAAAGGCAGTGAGGTTTCATGGATAAAGTCCCCTCATCCTACTCTTAGAGATCCCCTGCCTTTATATTCCCTCCTGTTCCAAAGGTTGCAGCAAACCCCAGGTGCATTATGTATACTTATAGGCAAGCTATGGAATATTTATTACGTGTTCCTTTATCACATTCACTGCTGTGAGTGTGTTTTCTCCCTCATGCTCTTACTTTCCAGTTAAACCATCTATAATCATCCGTATCATTGTAACATTGTTTTGCATAGAGAGATGAGTAATGAAAGAAAACTGCAATATTCTCAACCACAAATTGCTGAAAAGCTGCTTCAGAATCTAATAGTCACTGCAAGCTGTAAAAACAAGGGCAAAATGAAGACTCTGAGGCTGTAGCCTTTTTCTCCCCACATGTGCTCCTGCAGTGACTCGCCACTGTCTCTCCACCTTCAGGCAGTTTGATTCTGCAGGCTCCCCATTCCTGGTGCAAACATTAGTTCGAGCAGTTTTTCCTCTCAGCAGCAGCAGGCTTTTGGAGGATGAGTAAGCTCTGAAATTATTTCTGTGTTCCCCGCTGTCATGAACACCGCTGGAGTAATGACTGACGTGGCTTCGGCTACAGGGTTTGTGACCAACCCTCCCCCTGGCCATTACCTGTTTTGGGCAGGAATGGAAAGCCCTTCCTTTGGCCTCAGCGATGGTGGCAGCCGGGTGTTCAGAGAGCAGGGAGTGCTTTTCATGGCACACTGGGATTTGAGTCTCGTCCCCCCATCACAAACACCCTAGGTTTCTGTTTCCTCTCTGTTTAAGTGCTGTTTCACTGCCAGTCTGCCTGAGACATATAGGGAGGGGATAGGAAAGCATCCATGGTGGCATGAACAGAGAAGCACCAGACTCTGGGCCTTAAAATTTGTGGAGAGTGCTCTAATGGGGTCTTGAAGACTTCGGTTTCTACCGTGCTATTGCTCTGCAGCATTTACTGTCTTTATGATCACTGAATTAATCCTTACTCTGTAAGGTTATTAGAAGTACTTGACAAAATGTTTTCAGATGTTTGTGAATATTTTTTGTGGGGCCTACAGGAAAGCGGAGGGGTCTTTTTACAGGGGTCTGTAGTGACAGGACAAGGGTAACGGGTTTAAATTGAAAGTGGGGAGGTTTAGATCAGATAGAAGGAATCAAATTCTTCCCAGAGAGGGTGGTGAGGCACTGGAACAGGTTGCCCAGAGAAGCTGTGGATGCCCCATCCCTGGAAGTGTTCAAGGCCAGGCTGGATGAGGCTTTGAGCAACCTGGTCTAGTGGAAGGTGTCCCTGCCCATGGCAGGGGGGTTGGAACTGGATGGTGTTTAAGGTCCCTTCTAACCCAAACCATTCTGTGAGTCTGTGATTTTTGTTGCTACCTAAATGCCTGGCACAGTTCATAAATGACACTCTCCTCAGGTGTCTCCATTGTGGTGAACAAGGCAAACCTTTGTTCTTCCTCAGCCAAGCACTTGGAACGTCCTGTGAAGATGTCAATCATCTGCCCTGGAAGGTGTGGCACTGCTGTGCAGTGAGGAGCTTTCAGCTGTGTTTGGCATGCCATGGCACGGCATGGATCACATCTCCTGGGGATCCAGAGGGTGGTTGAAAGGTCTGTGGGGATCAGCGAAAGCCCTGGCTGCACCGATAGTTCGAGATGACATGTCCATGTCGCTGCTGAAGGGGGTGAAAGGGAATGAATCTGATAAACCCCCAACCTTCCTCCCCTTAAGGCGTTTAGCTCTGCCACCTCACCCTGGTACCATCTGCCAAATGGCCACTCAAACACTGTTGGCACGTCAGTGGGCGCAGGGCTGAGCAGTGAAGGGCGGTGAGCAAGGGCTTGCATTGAGATAGAGTGACTGCATAATGACAGTCTGCAAAACAAGTGAGCGCATGGCCAGGAGACTTTACATCTGCTGTGTGGAAGTCAGAGCGTCAGCGAGAAGATACTTGGGGGCCTACGTCTGATGAACAGATTTTTCACTATGTCTTCTTTTCTTTCCTGTTTCAGTGGCTCCACCACCATACAGTTACGAATACGAAATGGACTACCCAGCTGACCTACCTCCACCTTACACTCCAACTCCACAGACTTCAATACAGTATCCCCCACCCCCTCCTTACCCTGGGTATTCAGGGAAATAATTACACAGATACCAACTGCCTGTTGAAACAGCCAGCACCATTGGAACAAATACTGTCAGCTCAGGGACAATAGGATGGTGTCTGCATCAACACGTGGGGCCAGGTGTTGAAGTAACCTGGGAGGGCTGCCATGGCTCAAGGAAGAACAAGAAAACTGCCCCCTCCGGACCATGACCTTTCATGATTAAAGAGCACGCGACCAAAGAAACCATTCTTGTAAGTTAGTGCCTGATGAGTAGCGCTTAGCAGCCGTGCGTAGCTTCAGCTGCGGCCCGTTGCTGTGCGTGGGAGCGGGGGTCTTCCCATGTGACAACGTGCAAGCAGCGCAAATGGTTCAACAAGCTGTTTCGAAAGCACAAGAGGCAGCTGCTGGGGCGTACTCCAGGGGAAAACTCCAACTGTTGTCTTCAAGTATGTGTCACGCCTTTCCTTGAAACGAGGGTAATAAGGAAGAACGAAGAAGCCTAAAGCTATTTTCAGTGTCTGTGTCAGGCTGATAATAGCCAGTGGTCAGCTGTGCATGTTGGTCTGCCAGGCACATTACAAAGAGAAGTGCTGTCGGAGTTACTCAGTAACCAAAAACTGATGGATATTATTTTTGGCCAAATGCAGGTTGTTTTAAGTGCCTACTTTTAAACAGTTTGGGACTAGTTTGTGTCCTAAAATGTAAACATAAAGAGCGTTTTCGTATGTGAATTATACTAATTTATAGCTGATTTACTTTTACCTGGACTTAAGTTCTGTATACATTGAACATACGCTATAGCGCCTTTTTTATCAGCAAATGATACTTTGATTTTTTTAAAAATACTGAATTGGGAAAACTCACAAATGGGAGAAGAGATAGAAGCCAAGTATTAAAATATTATAGATTTGTCTTTCAACTGGATTGTGCAAAGATCTTTTCCTTAAAAAAAAACCCCATCTTTTTTTTACCACTAATAATGATATTCAGCCTAACCAAAGAGGTGAACAGAGAGACTGTGAGCATCAGATCATTTTTGAATGTTATGTTGGGCGTTTTAAAACTGCCACCAAATAATGCTTTTTGCATTTGTCACTCATGTTCAAAATTACTTAATCTCTACCGTGTAAAGTACGGACCTTTATGTTTTAAGATGTTCCATATGCTTATGGGGCTAACTGTAATTCACTGGCAGCTATTCCACTACCGAACAGAGCATCCGGTTGCCTAAAGCATCATCCTTCACGGGGAAGGCAAGTATTTTTCTCAGTTTTAAATGCAATCCACAAAGACAGTGGTTCTCTTTGAGGATTTAAAAGTGCTGAACGCCCTTAGTTTGAGTTGGGTGGCTGAGCAGCTTGACGATGCTACAGCCAGAGTAGCAGATGACAAAATTACGGCACCTAGAGTTCAGGACGGCTGTGGCATCAGGCCCAGTTCAGAGGGAGAGACTGCAGATTACCGCTGATTCCTGGAGATCAGAATGCATTTAAATGTTTTGCAGTGTAGCCCTCCACGTCTTTTCAGGAGTATCAGTGTTTTAGTGAATAAAAGAACAGCTTGCAAAAGGCGGTATCATATCCCAGCGAAGTCACCTGGCAACCTCTCATCACCCCTTAAGCCTGATCTTTTTGTCACTCAGTCCTGTTGCAGGGAAGAACTCAAGTAACCTTTTAACGCCAAGTACAAAAGTTACTCAGAGGCTTCCTTGTAAACAAGACCTTACTGACTGTTCTTGCTCAGATTTTGTAAATGTATTTGTCCTTTCCAGGCTGACTAAGTTTATCCTCTTGAAATGCCACTCGAAAGCACACAGGGCCTCAGTCCTCACCACTGCAAGTTCAGAAGGTCTGTGCTGGGGCCCTTGACCAAACTAGCCTTGAGTCACAGCCCCATTAGCTACCTAAGTGTTTGCAACCCTGTCAGAGGAAAACGGAGCTGTGCCACAGGCTTTGGTTGCTGCTGGCTCCTTGGAGCCTCCTCTAAGGAAGGAAAGTTTTATTTCTTATTTCTGTCCTGACCGTGTTACCTTTACAGTCACCTCTGCTCTGGGCCATGCCCTGCGACAGTTCGGCTGGTACCATGACCCCTCAAGAGACGGATGTTCCTCAGTTGAAATCCTTCCACAAAGGGCAACCTTGCGCGTGCGGTGTTCTGGCAGTCCCTACTCAAACCCATCTGCTGGGGTATCGATGCACCTGCCAACGTGGTGGCCAGCATGAAGAACGGAATAAAAATAGTTTTCTCTGCGGGAAATCCTGTTCCTGCCACATCGTTCTGCACTAGTACCTCAGCGCTGCCCAGCTGATCGCACCGGATGATATTTCTGTGCCAAAAAGTTACCTATAGATAAAGAGGATTGTCATTTTTCCCATTCTTCTATTTCATTTCTTTGTGCTGAACATGCAGACACACAAATCAAAGAGCAGTTTGTATTTGATGAATCCAGTCTCCTGAAAAATACAGAGAAAGAAAACTATCCTATAGATCATAAATCTTCCCTTAGAGGAAGAATTTCTCCAGCCGTGACATTTGTCAGAACAAGTTATAAAGCAGGTTTCTTAAATAAAAAGGCATTTCTGGGAAATAACTAAAAGTCTTTGATCACAGTCCTGTTTTTCAGCTTTGTGGTTGCGTGTTGCCTCTGGTGTTGCACAGAAGTCATGGTGACCGAAGTGCCTGCAACATATACGTGGCTTAATCCGCAGGAAAATGGTGGAAATAGCAATTTGAGAATCTCATAACGACAGTCAGCTATTTGTTTGATATGGAAACACTAATGAGGAGGTTGATTTTAGCATGTTAATTAACGTTCTGCAGATCCAAGTATATCGGGCCATACCGGGCAATGATTTTAATCTCAAAGGATGTCACATCTCTTGTCCTTGCTTAAGGGTATAAAACGTAAAGGTGTTGCCCTTCCAGCAAACCAGGTAAAACTAGTAGAGAGTAGCGTGTTTTCGGAAAGAGGTGATGATTGCATTGAAAATAAGCAGGCAAACAAGGGCAGCCAAAGAGGGGGAGGGAGTCAGATTTATAAAAATAAAGGAATAGAACAAAGAAGTTGCTGCATGAACAAGTGGGAGCATTTGCTAGTACTACAGTTTCATTGGCTGAGTTTAGTTGAAAAAGTTGAAGTGTTGTTATACCTTAAGTGTTATTTTGTTTGTATGGAAACATGTAATTTGTTCAACACCTCCACATTCAAAGTCCCTGCGGTGCAGGTATTGCTGGCCAGTAGTCATTTATTCGGTTCCACATGAATAGCTTGCAGATGAGTGGGTTAGTACAAAGAGTTTTCACTTAGTCACACCGACTTACTGCAGCCTCATGCCCTACATCATACTGTAAACTAAGGGAAAAAAAAACCCACGAAAAGGTAATCTATGGCTGGGAAAGGCCCAACTATCGTTTGCTTTTCTCGCTTGGCAGCAGACACTGTTACTAATTGGGTCAGTGAATGGAGTGTTGCCCTGGGCGGTTCAGATACTTGGCCCAGACGCTACTGGTTTTCTTGTGGTCGCGGGTTGCTGTGCCTTTGGCTCACCATTTCTAGGCTGAGTGGGGAGGCAGGGAGGGAAGGTCACCGTGTCAGGACTACAGGACCCGATCCCACAAGCTTGCTCCTTGGTTTCCTAGTTCAGCACATGCGATGACGGCCTGGTTGGACGAGTGCTGTGAGGGGTTGGAAGCAGCAGGAGTCGCAGGTGCTTACAGAGGCACATACGCTTGTGTACGCTCTGATGCCAGTCCTCTTTTGTGGAAAAAAATGAATTCTGTGTGATGTCTTGGTTAATCATGTACTGGGGATATTTCAAGCCATGATTCATTTTGCAAACTTAATTTAATCTGGCATTTCTTTAACTTTTTCTTTTTTTTTTCCCCCAGAAAGATTTACTTCCAAACCAGTTATCTCTCCAACAGCCTACTGTTCCTAGGGTATATACCAAACAGCAGGAGAAATGCATTTAAGAGCTAATGACCCATTTGGGAGACTTCACAAATTAGGTAATAATCAGTTGGAGGAGTTAAAAGGCCAAAGCAAAGCCAAGGGAAGTTAATGTGCTAGGCTGCCATTACCTAAATGATACACTCCCCTGAAAGGATCGTTAGTGCGATTATAAGCCTTTTTTAATTAATGAAAAATGTAACAGTTTGCTTTTTTTAATGTTGGTAACTTTGAAAGATGCAGTTTTACCAGTGTGCTAGACCACATTTTCAATAGTGCCACAATGAAAAGATTAGATTGCTGCATAGAGCACCTGGATCAATCTTAACACTGTTTTTGATATAGCTGAGTCTTTCAATTTAAAGCAAATGTTCTCAAGACCCTTTGTGAAACCACAATGACGTTTGTTGGATGTAATGGGATAGTTCATAAAACACTGCTGGCTATCTATTAGAATAGTAAATGTTTGGCATTTCTGTATTCAATTCCATCCTGGAAGCTCTCCAGTGCTTGAGTAACTAGAAAAATAATTATTTTAGTCACCTTGGAATAAAACACAACAGGTATTTAACAGCGCACAGTAATAGTATGTAACACCCCGAGGCTGGAATTGCACAAAAGAATTAAGGGAAATTGAGTATATTTCTTCAGTTTCACTAAAACGTCAGTGCTTGGACAAAACGCCTGGAGAAAACAACGTCCAAAACTTTTTATCAAGTGATCCCTATGACTGCTTTCCAATGGGCACACCCAGTCTAGGGGTGGATTTTATATTGCAGCAATGTCTGAGGTCTGAAAAGCAGAGCCCCGGTCCGAGGCTGAACTGTAAAAACTCCCCTCCCGCTCTGTCACGATTTTAGTGTGCAGCCGGAAGAGGTGAACGGAGACTAAAGAAAGGAGAGGCGGTGGTCCCTCACTTCACAAAAGGGAAAGGGAGACAGGGAAAACCAAAATGGTCCAGACTTTCTGATTTTATATGACCTAGAGGGCAGCTGGCAAGTGCTATGGCCAGTGACTGTCACTGTGGGAAGAGCGAAAGCAAGGAGCACTGAGCGTGCCGAAGAGATGCTGAGGAGCTGCCACGCA